GGGCTGCCCGCGGTGGTGGGACCATCGTCAGCCATGGGCTCTGGACAAGCAGACACGGCGTGGGCAGGTGTCCCCACGGCCTCCCGTTCCGTTCATCAGTGCTCATCACACAGCCTTCCTTTTTGCTTCTTAAGAGATGTGTGTCATTAACCAAACCCACAACTCTTTCCTTAAAGGGACGAGGTTGACGAAGATGAGCAGCTCCATTTAATAACAAAGCTGGCACCACTGTGGAGTCCTTTCTAAAATTCTTTTTTACAGAGAAGTGACACACAGGTGTGTCCCCCCCTCACCCTCACTCTCAGCTAACACCTCCGGGGCTGTCTGGGGGCTTCCTTTTCCAGCCCCACACCCAGGGCACGTGCAAAGCTCTGTCAGGGGGACGCTGCCGCATGCCCCGGAGCGTGAGAACCTGAGAACGGCAGAACCGCGCCGCAGAGCTCTGGCTCTGTTACAGCTGACCGTGACATCCCTCTGCCTTCCACTCTCTCATATTTTATCACCTGGGGCGGGGGGGGGAAGATTTTATCCCTTGCAGATGGAGAGGCAAAGCAGCACAATAAATTTTAAGTGCCGCTTGAAGATGGGTTGCAGAGGGGAGCCCAGCTGTTCTCTGCTCTTTCACATTCACCTCGTGTGCCCACGTCACGTAAGCTGGGAGCAGCCACGGCCAAGTCTCACTGAAATCTTGTCCTCGGCTTTGTATCGACATAGTTATGCTTCGGGAAGTCTAGGGATGAAGGAGCAGCACTCAGCGTAACAGTAATATTTTCTCTTGTATCATCAATCTATCCGTACGGAGCCATGGAGCTCTGCAATATTTTATCTGTATGGATCAACCCCAGGTATTCTGCTTGTGAAACCCATCCCGCGCATTAGCCATCTCCATGCCGGACTGACTGTACATGTGCCTTTCACCCTTTTTCATGGTTCATCATCTTTTTCTAACACAGCTGCAGAACTTGAATAAACCAGTGAACTCTCATTCAAGTCCTATGCAAGAGATGACGGGGGAGTCAGCTTTCGCTGTCGCTGTGTTTCTACGCTGTTTGAAGAGAAGACACTTGGATTTTCAGAGAAGCCCAACAGAATTAATGCCCTGACAATTGTTCAGCTAAAATAAAGGCCCTACAATTTTTTAAATTTTTTTTTTTTTTTTTTTTTTTTAGCTAAAAAATCATTTTGCATTTCAGATGCTAAACCTCTTAGGTGGCTTTGAGAAGCTCAGCCTGACCCCAGCTCCCCACCGGTCTGTGTGCGGAGACCACGCAGCAGCGGCAGAGCGAGCAGCAGCGCTTGCAGGAGTGTTCAATAGCCGGTGTTTCCTCTCGAGAGAAAGGAGAAGAAAGTGCTATTTGGTCAGAAAAGGTTGCCTTAAGCCTTCCCTAAAAAGCATCAGAGAACGTTATCATCCCCGGCCACCAGCCCTGCGCCTGCCACCACCCTGGGGCAGCGCAGCCCCGCGGCCAAGCTGGTTGGGGTGCTGCAGATGACCCCCGGCCCCCCGCCACCGAGCAGACGCCCAGGCAGCAGGTGCCTGTCAGCCGTGCTCTGCTGAATGCCTTACAACAGCGGGACAGCTTCCACGCCGGGATTTTGAGAAAAGGAAAACAAAGCCCCACGTTTTTCTACATCACCTATGCTGTAGGACTGAAACTCGTCTGAAACTCGAAGCTGACAAAACGCGTCCTTTTTGTGTGTTACGTGTTAAATCGGTGTAAGCACGGTTAGTAGAGGAAGGGTGTCTACTTCTTGTAGGACATTGTTTAAACATTTGCCATGTGTCACCAGGCTGAAGGCCACGACTGCCTGGAGTACGTTGTGCGGTGTGCCTGTGTGCGTGCAGCCTGGGTTTGGTTGGTAGGTCGTAATGCTGTCTTTTGACTGCAAAAAAAAAAAATCTAATATAAAGAAAAACCACAAGAAACAATAAAAAATCTATTTAAATGCTATTTTATGTGTATTCCTCTAAAGCCTGCAAGTATACCTGTCTGTTAAAAGCTTCAGGTTTTACAATAAGCTTTTAAGAGTCATTGCTGTAACTATCAGAGTCAATAGAAAAAGGCACCTTTGAGGACAAGGGTGCACAGGGGAGGGGATGGTTCAGCCTGAGTCATTTGAGGGTTGGGTGGTTTTTTTTTCCCTCCCGGTTAAGAAGCCCTAAAGCTCAGTAGGTGATTGCAAGGGCTCAGGCTGATGCCGGTTGCCTGGACAGGGCCCACATCGGTGCAGGTCTGCAGCATCCGCTGTTCTCCAGCACACACACCAGCCGGGAGCGTTCTCACCCCCCCTCACCGCCGAGTTCCCCCCCCCCCCTCACAGCCGAGAGGCAGAGCTGCCTCTGAGGGGATGAAGAGCTTGGAGCATCTGACAGATGAGGAGAGGCTGGGAGCTGGGACTGAGGAAAGGCACAAATTGAAGTTAAAAAAAAAAAAAAAAAGATTCCACTTAAGCATAAGAAAACACTTCTTCAGTGCGAGGGTGGTTGACCACAGGAGCAGGTTGCCCAGTGAGGGTGAGGAGTCCCCATCCCTGGAGACACCCAAGAGGGGAGCAGGCAAGCCCACGAGCAGCCGGTGCTGGGCAGGTGATGGGGCTGGTGGCCCAGGGGTGGTGGCCGGTGGCCCAGGGGCTGTGCTGGTTCTGGGCGTTGCACCCGCAACCCCCCAGCTGCTGGGAGAAGGACTT